GAGACAGGGTCTCCCTGTAGCCCCAGCTGTCCTGGATTCACTATGGAGACCAGGCTGGCCTCGAACTCACAGAGATCCGCCTGCCTCTGCCTCCTGAGTGCTGGGATTAAAGGCGTGCGCCACCACGCCCAGACTCCAGCCCCCTTTAAAAAAAAAATTTTAGTTATTATTTGCATTTTATGTGTATGAGTGTATTGCCTGCATGTAGGTAAGTGCACCCGTGTCATGCAATGCCCACGGAGGGCAGAAGAGGCTGTCAGACGCCCTGGAACTGGAGTTACGGACAGTTGTTAGCTGCCATGTGGGTGCTGGGATTTGAACCGGGTCTTCTGGAAGAACAACCACTCTTCTTAACCTCTGAGCCATCTCTCCAGCCCTATTTTGTCTCTTGTAGGCTTACAGGACTCTATTTCACCAGTGCTAACCAAAACTGTTTAGTTCCTCCTGGGTCGTGTTCTGAGGATGATAGTTGACTATTAGGTTGGTCTTGCTTTCCACTGTGTTCTCGGAGTCAACTGGTGAAGTGCAGTTGTTATTTAAGGTGGTTGGACCCACTGGTTGTGTTGTTGAGTTATTGCAATTTGGCCGATTAGACAGTTATGTTTCCATGGCAGCGATTACCTGCCCAGTCCAAGGCTCTGCTGCCCACAAACCACTTTTAAGCAGAGAAGCCATATCACACACGTAAGTCTGCCATGTTAGTATGGAGCTGCTATCTGGGGCTGATCAGCTGTAGGTTCTGTGGCCTGCACTGCCTGTGGATGAGGGGTTGCACTGGTGCTGGGAAGGGGAACCCTGCCCCACCCACCAGTTGCCGCCTCCGTCTATTTTTAACTTTTTGAAAAATTATTTTATTTATGTGTATGAGTATTTTGGCTGCATTTGCGTAAATGCATCACGAGTGTGCAATGCCTGTGGAGGCCAGATGACATTGGAACCCCCGGAACTGGAGTTACAGGCAGTTACTATCTGCCCTGAACAGCCAGTGCTATTAACCACTGAGCCATCTCTCCAGCCTGAGACCCTATCTTTAAAAGAAAAAAAGGCCTAAAAAACATAGCTATTAGAACTAACATGTGGACTGTGTATATGTGTGTGTGCATGTGCGCACATGCATGTGTGTATGTAGAGGCCAGAGGACAACCTTGATGTTTTCCTAAATAACCATCCACCTTGTCCTGTAAAACAGGCTCTTTCAGTTGACCTAGGACTCCCTAATTATTCTAGGCTGGCTAGCTAGTGAGTGCCACGGATCCTTCTGTCTCCTTCTCTCCAGGTCTGGGCTTACAAGTATGCATCACCACACCTATCTGGGGATTGAACTCGGGTCCTTCAGTAAGCTCTTTATTGACTGAGTCATCTCTCCAGGCCCTGGACTTTGTTTAATCATGATTTAAATGAATGGCAGTTGGAGAGATTTGGACACTGACCAGTGTGTGATAGCGCTTTCCAAAATTAGTAACTCTTTGTTTGGTGGCAATAATGGAAAGGGCCTTATCTTTTAGAAGCCTGTGTTTAAATTTTATTTAAGGCTAAAATGGTAAAATGCTGGTATTGGTTTGACAAGGTCCCAGTGCTGGGGAGGAACTGGAAAGTAGCCTGGTGCAGTCCATGTAACTGGCTAGTGGTTGGGGATAGGAAGTGCTCACTGTTCTAATCTTCCAAGTTGTGTATGTACTTGAAAAATTTCTACATAAGAGGTTTCTCTAAAAGTACTTGCTTATAAGGGAAAATAGCTCATTGAGTTAAACTGTCTTTGAAATTGCTTAGGGGGTGAAGATTTATGTTTAAAAAGTATTTAGAGTCATTATGGTATTTTATGTAACCAAGAATTCCATTATAGAGTGAAATAAAAAGGAAAATGGAGTATTTGGATTTGATTTTAAGTCAAGAATAATGAAATCTCAGGAGCAACTTCTACTGCAAGATTTTTTGGTTTTCCAGTAGTTTAGCTGCACAGAGGGTGGCCCTGGTGACACTCCATTGTCATTCTCTTCAGCTGCCTGTTCCTCCTGAGAGTCTTTTTCTTTACAACATTCTGAATGTTATAAAACTAAGCATGGGGTGGGGTTGGGGGCTGCGGAGCTGGCTCAGGGGTTAAGAGCCCTGGCTGATCTTGCAGAGGACCCAGATTCAGTTCCTAGCCGCCACATGGCAGCTAACAACTATTAGTAACTCTAGTTCTAGGGGATCCAACACCCTCTTCTGGCCCCCTTAGGCATTGCATATACCGGTGCACTTACATACATGCAGGCAAAACACTCATACACATAAAACAAAAATAAAAAATTAAAACTACTCACTGGGTGCACTTTTGGTTATTAAAGGCACACAGAGCGAATGTACTTGACTTTTGAAGATGCAAATCCATGACACTTCCATGGTGTTCTAATGCCCCCTGTACCCTCTCTTCCAGAACAGTGTATGAAGACTCAGGCCCTGGAAGGCCACTCAGCTGCCTCATGGAGGAACCGGCCCCGTATACAGATGGTACTGGTGCTGCAGCGGGAGGTGGGAACTGCAGGTTTGTGGAGTCTCCCAGCCAAGACCAGAGACTCCAGGCACAGCGACTCCGAAATCCTGAGGTCCGAGGGTCACTACAGACACCCCAGAACCGACCACATGGCCACCAGTCACCCGAGCTGCCTGAAGGCTATGGTGAGGGACCCTGTGTGCCCATGGGCATCGGCTCTTCTGAGAGCCTGTGTTGTTAAGCCTTTTAAGTATCCAGTGCACAGCTGCTGTTGGCCTGACCATACCTTCAATGGCTGTGGCATCTAGTGGTCCTGGACACATAAGGATGGAGAAGTTGTGAGCAGGTGTTCTGTTCTCTCTCTGTAGACATCAGTAGAGAGCCACAACAGTGTGAAGTGGGAGAGGGAATCTGTGGTGGTCTCTGACTTGAATGTGGGCATTGAGGGGATGGGGAGAGAAGGGCCATATGGTTACCATGGAGAGAAGAACCAAGCAAAGGGATGCAATTGAGATTCTAACTCACCCAAAAGTGAGCGTATCCGGAGATTATGATGAAGATGGAAGTTGGGTCTGTGGTAGGTTGGCAGGCATGGGTCAAGTGTCTACTCTGGGGGTGACTCTGGAAGAAGGCGAGGAGAAAGAGATCCCACCAAAACACAGGGTGGGGGGATTGCGGACTTGAGGAAAACAGGCAGAAGCCAGCCACAGCCTTGTAATTATTTTCTCTGTGATCATGAAGAATGTTGGAAGAGGGGCTGGAGAGCACTGGCTGCTCTTACAGAGGACCTGGGTTCAGTTCCTAGTACCCACATGGTGGCTTACAACCATCCATAACTCCAGTTCCAGAGGATCCAACACTTTCTTCTGACCTCTATGGGCATTGCAATCACATGGTGCCCTTACATATGTGCAGACAAAACATTCATACATGTGAAGTAAAAATAAATGCATCTTTAAAAAAAAGAATATTGGGTCGGGCATGGTGGCGCACGCCTTTAATTCCCAGCACTTGGGAGGCAAAGGCAGGCAGATCTCTGTGAGTTTGAGGCCAGCCTGGTCTACATGGCAAGCTCCAAGTTAGCTGGGGCTACAGGGAGACCCTGTCTCAAAAAGACCGAAAAAAAAAAAAAAAAAAAGTATATTTGAAGAAGCAAGCGGGGTGCAGTGGTGTAGCCTGTGATCCCAGCAGGACTTTGCTTACTCAGACCCCCTCATTTCTCATGCAGAACAAAGAACGACAGTGCAGGGACAAGTTTACTTTCTGCACACTCAGACTGGAGTCAGTACGTGGCACGACCCCAGGATCCCCAGGTAGGCCTGGGCAGGATATGAAGGGTGAGCCTCTCTCAGTGTGAGCCAGCAGCACTGAGCGAAGGGAGATGGTGGCTGGGATTCCTGGGCTGGGGTGTGGCGGGGATATGTACTGCCTAGGGGGGTCACGGGTCTCTGGTTGTTGAGGTTGGTTACATCACCATTCATTGTGGTCTCTCTCTCCTCTTTTCTTTTTCTTTTTTTTTTTTATGCTTAAATTTTCCATGATAACAAGTTAAAAAGGAAAGATAAAGACTCTGTTACCCTTTCTCTCTTCTACTTTACTGGCCCTCTTGCCTCAGTCCCTTGGGGACCATTCCGGGGGGAGATGGAGATTTCCTATACGAATTCCTTCTACAAGGCTATACCTCCGAGCCCAGGTCAGAGGGACCCCCACCCCACCCTGTGCCAGAGTTAAGTTTCTTTCTTTGCTATATCCCTGTCCTCTTTCTTTCTCTGACAATAGCATTCCTTCCTAAGGAGATTTTGGGTAATGCTCATTTCCTGTCTGTTCATTCTTTGTTTCCCCTGAAAACCCCCTTCCTATCTTTAATATGGAATTTATAATTCAGAGTCTATCACCAGAGTGGGAACATTACCTGCAAATGAACGAGGCATCTCTCGGTATACACTATAAGAGATGACAAGCATTTGTGTTAATCCCAGTGGCATCTTGATGGGGCACTCTGGGCTCTCCTCTGGCTGTGGATCACAGTGAAGTTATAATCAAGGTCCCAGTAGTGAAAACACTGAATGAATGAATAACAACCAGCTCAGTCTTGGGAATGCCTTGTCCCATGTCACAATTCAGAGTTGTGTTTTCAAATGTATGCTCTATATCCCCTACCAGCCTTGAAAACCTGAGACCCTCCAGAGCTTGTCAGTTGAGGAGCCATTGCTGTACAGAGCATTTACTTTGATTTGTGAATCCAGAGAGCTTTTTGATGGCTAACCTGAGACCCTCCAGAGCTTGTCAGTTGAGGAGCCATTGCTGTACAGAGCTTTTTGATGGCAGTCAAATGCTTCCTGATAGTCTGCCCCTCTGCTGTATAAGAAGGAGTGTTCCTGGGATTGCCTCTGTTCCCTGGGATAGCCCTTATTCCTTATGATGGGCATAAGCTCTAAAAGTTCCACTGTTCCCTGTCAGGTGTTTCTGCCATTTGTAGCCTGGCACGCACTCGGTGGGGTTGGCCCAAGTAATGGCGATCTCAGCAGAATGTGGACATAGGTACCATGCTAGGAAACCCCAAGGCTTTGGGCTCTGAGGTTTGGGTCTTAGTCCTTGGTTCTTCATTGGATAAACCTCTCCATGTCTTCTGCTTCACTAGAGACCTAAACAGTGTGAATTGTGATGAGCTTGGGCCGCTGCCTCCAGGCTGGGAAGTCAGAAGTACAATGTCGGGGAGGATCTACTTTGTAGATCACAATAACCGAACAACCCAGTTTACAGACCCAAGGCTACACCACATCATGAAGTAAGGCCTTAAGTGATTTCCATTGACCCCTTCATTTTATAATTGAATGATTCCTTCCACTAATGTGTATGAGGGAGGTTGGTGTGTGTGTGTGTGTGTGTGTGTGTGTGCATGTGTGTGTGTACTGGGTGTGTGCTCAACAGCATATGAATGTGTAGAGGCTAGAGGTCAATCTCAGGTGCCTTCCTTAATCCCTCTCCCCGTTCTAGTTCACTTTCAATTGCTGTTGCAAAACTCTGACCAATAACAACTTGGGGAGGAAAGGGTTTATTTGTCTTACATCTCCAGGTTACAGTTCATCACTGAGGGAGCCCCAAGGTAGGAACTCAGGGCAGGAGGAACATGGAGGCAGGAGCTAAAGCTCAGGCCATGGAGGAATGCTGCTTACTGGTTTATTCTCCTGGCTGGTGCTCAACCTGCTTATACAACACAGGCCCACTTGCCCAGGGGTGGCACGACCCACAGTGGGCTGGGCCCTCCCACATTACTCAATAATCAAGAAAATGCCCCACAGACATGGCCACAGACCAGTCCAACGGAGACAATTCCCCAACTGAGGCTCCCTCCACCCACATGTGTCAGGCTGACAACTAAAGCTATCTAGCACACCCCTCCTAGTTTTTGAGGCAGGGTCTCTCATTGAACCTGAGGCTCACCATTTTGGCTAGTCTAGCTGGCCAGCAAGTCTCAGGGGTCTTCCTGTCTCCGCCCCCTAGCACTAGAGTTACAAAGGAACACACCATACCAGGCTTTTTCTGTGGGTGCTGGGGATCCAAACTCAGGTCATCATGCCCACACAGCAAGCACTCTCCCCACTGAGCCATCTCCTCAGCCCCACCCCAGTATTTCTCTTAATGTGTCTACTTCGTGAACATGAGAAAAATAGGAAAAATAGTGGACAGTTTCATTCTTAAATTTGTAAATGAGCATGACTATCACTGTGGACAGATGCTGTTGGTGCCCTTTTCTTTCCTACTCGCACCTAAGTAAGAGTCACTGAGACAAGATGACCACATTATTAACAGAACATACGTAGTACATTCTAGAAGGCCTGGTATCAGTGCTGCTGCTTGCCAGGCATTCCAGCCTTGGAAAATGGGTATGATCTTTGGTCTCACCATAGTCAGTATCACACACAGCTTGCCAGGTGGCAGCTGGTATTAGTGATAAACTTAAAGAAAATGCCCTTCTGTGACCCTAGTAGCCTGAGTCCTTTCCCTGATAATTTGCTCTTAGTGAGCAGCAGGCTTAGGAATTTTTTTTTTTGAAACAGGATCTCCCTGTAACCCCAGCTGCCATAGAACTCTATGTAGACCAGGTTGGCCTCGAATTAACAGAGATTCACCAGCCTCTGCTTCCAAAGTGCTGGGGTTAAAGGTTTGTGCCACCATGCCTGGCTTAGGCATAGGAATCTTGATTAAAAAAGGGTGAGTGGTCCCCACTGGAGGCCACTAAGTTGTTTGCCCTTGTACATTGCTCCCTATGGTCTTCTTTAAAAGATTTCCCTCTAGGGTGGAGATGGTTCCCAGCACTCACATGGTGACTCTGTTGCCCTCTTCTGGTCTCCAAGGGCACTGCACACATCAGGTATACATAGATACATACATATAGGCAAAACACTTATACATGTAAAAAAAAAAAACCAAATTGGGGCTGGAGAGATGGCTCAGATATTAAGAGCATCACTAGCTGCTCTTGCAGAGAACCTGGGTTCAGTTCCCAACACCCACAAGGTGGGTAGCAATCATCTATAACTCCAGTTCTAGGGGAATCTGATGCCCTCTTCTGGCCTCTATGGGCATTCCCACATGGTGCATTTACATACATGTAGACAAAATACTCATACACAAAAAATGAAAATAAATTTTTAAAATTAAAAATAATAATAATTAACTAATGTTCTACCAGGCACATCTGGTTTGCACCAGTTGGTCTCAACAGCATGTAATGGATGCATGGCACATGGTGGCAATTTTTATTTTCATTTTCAGTAATAATGTAGGACATAAGTGATTGCTTGGAATCGGGGCTTTCCTTTATTGTACCCCAGACTTCAGTTACGCTGATGCTGGTCTTTGGCAGTTTGTCAGCAGAGCCGTCCACTGCAGCATGTGCTGAGCTCTGCATCTCCTGAGCCACAGCATTGCCTGCAGCAGCTTGGCCTTAGCCTGCCCAGTGACCCTTGTGTCTCCTCTCTCCAGTCACCAGTGCCAACTCAAGGAGCCCAGCCAGCCGCTACCACTGCCCAGCGAGGGCTCCGTGGAGGATGAGGAGCTGCCCGCCCAGAGATATGAAAGAGATTTAGTCCAGAAACTCAAAGTCCTCAGGCATGAGCTCTCGCTCCAACAGCCCCAAGCTGGTCATTGCCGTATAGAAGTTTCCAGAGAAGAAATATTTGAGGTATATAACTGAGTCTTACTAAACCATTAAGCCCTGTGGATAATAAACACTCTGGGACATTTGCGTTAACTTTCTGTTAACTGCCTGTGGGCAGTTTCCCATCTCCATAGAATCTACTTTCTGCTCAATATTTGAGAGTCAATTTATTGGTTTTGTTTTTTTGATCTCCTTGTGTGTATTGATTGTATAGGGTACTGTCTATTTTCATAGAAGTATGTGTTATGTTATGCATATCTCCTGTGCCCCCTTCCCTCAGTCCCCCTCATCCTCTTGGTCATCTAAAGCAGGTCACTTCTACTTTACAATCATAGATACATACATGATTTTATATATCCATGTAAAAATCTAGTAATTTCATATACTAGGAAAAAAACAGCATAATTCACTTAAAATTATCTCCCTTTGCATCCATTTTCCTACAAACAACATAATTTTGTTCTTTATGGGCCCAGAAATACTCCATTGTGTATATAAATCATATTTTTTTTGAGAGGGGTCTCCCTGTAGCCCTGGCTGGCCTGGTACTCACTATGTAGTCCAGGCTGGCCTTGAGCTCACAGAGATGCCTGACTCTGCCTCCCAAACGCTGGGATTAAAGGCCTGTACTACCACACCCAGCCTAAACCACACTTTCTTTATCCATTCCCCATATGGTTGGACACTTAGATTGGTTCCATATCTTAGATTCTATGAATGAGCATTGATGAGCAAGGATCCTGTACTGGGTTTACTTGGAGTCCTTTGAATAAATTCCCAAAAGTGGTATAGCCAAGACACTGTAGATTTACTTATATTTCTTGAGACACCTCCACATTGACTTCTATAGCATCTGGACTGCTTTGCACCCCCAGCAGCAGTGAGTAAAGGCTCCCTTCTGTCTACATTCTTGCCAGCCTTTGTCACTATTTGTCTTCTTAGTGTCTACCATTCTGACTAGGGTGAAATGGGCACTATAGTTTTTTAAAAATTCTTTGTATATCACATATTAAACCTCTTATCAGATGCGTAGGTAGCAAAAATTTTTCTCTTGAGGGGTCAATATTATTGCTCAGTGCAGTGTAGGGCTTATGAGGACCAAGACTCATGTTAAGAGAGAATTGTTTCTGCCTCTGGTAGTAGTTTAAGCACTAGATAACTTCTGAGGGGAAAATGTAGAGGCCTGTGTGGAAATGGGTACCACACACTGTTGGAATCCCAGCTCTCCCTGTGTGGACATGGATTCCTTGGCCTGCATATTCTCCTCACACCCATTCATCCCTTCTGGAATTTCAGCTTCCTCCCCAGAGACACTCATGGCCACGTGGCCTCCCTGTTGTCTCTGGGAACAGGAAGAGTAGATGGTTCCTCGGAATGACTCCATCCCCTGCCAGCTCCCTGCACAGTCCAGATCTCTGTATGGTCGTGGCCTTTTGCTCAAGAGATAAGAATCATGAGGTAAAACCTCAGCTGTGTTTGGGCCTCATCCTGCCCTTCTTTGTGGGGATGCTGGCAGAAATTACCAACTGAGACTGTTCACCAGCCTGGGCATCTTAGTGAGAACCTGTCTCAAAATGAAAAGGTGAAAAAGGACTGGATGTGTAGCTTAGTGGTAGAGCCACTTACCTAGAATCCCCAGTGAGGGTCTAGGGGTATGGCCTAGTGGTAGAGCACCTGCCTGGAATCTTCCAGTGAGGGGCTAGGGACATGGCCCAGTGGTAGAACATTTGCCTAGAATCCCCCAGTGAGGGGCTGGGGTGTGGCTCAGTGGTAGAGCACTTGTCTAGCATGTACAGTCTCTGGGCTCCATCTCTAGCATTGCCAAAAATAAATTCTTCTCTCTCAACATGTCATTTTGATGTATAGGAGTCTTATCGCCAGATCATGAAGATGCGGCCAAAAGACCTGAAGAAGCGACTAATGGTGAAGTTCCGTGGGGAAGAAGGTTTGGACTATGGTGGAGTAGCACGGTGAGCTGCTAGTTGATGTTCCTTTTTGGGTCTCAGCATAGCTGCAGCTGTTTCAAAGACACTGCTTGCCTCTTGCTGCCTGAGTGCCATCATGGAGCGTCATGACCTGCTGTGCCCATGCATCTTCACAGGACACTCAGGCTTCAAGTGCCAACTTGAACTATTATTTTGCTGTCAGTAATTAGAAAGCATGTGATGGTCACTGTTCATTTGCTTCTTACAGCTAGGAATTAAACTTGATTTTTTTTGGTCTTTTTGAGACAGGGTCTCCCTGTAGCCCCAGCTGTCCTGGAACTCACTACGTAGACCAGGCTGACCTTGAACTCACAGAGATCCGCCTGCCTCTGCCTCCCGAGTGCTGGGATTAAAAGCGTGCACCACCACGCCCAGCCTTAAACTTGAATATTTTTTTAAAAAATATTTAATTTTTGGGCTGGAGAGATGGCTCAGCGGTTAAGAACACTGGTTATTCTTGCTGGAGACCCAGGTTCAAATTCCAGCACCCACATGGCAGCTAACAACTGTTCATAACTCCAGTTCCAGGGGATCCCGCAGCCTCTTCTGTCCTCTGTGGGCATTGCACAACACAGGTACAGGCAATACACGCATAAAATAATAAATAAAATATTTTTTAATTTGTTTTTTTTATGTGTTTGAGTGTATTGCCTGCATGTATGTAAGTGCATCCATGTTGTGCAATGCCCAGGGAGGTCAGAAGAGGCTGTCGGATCCCCTGGAACTGGAGTTATGAACAGTTGTTAGCTTCCATGTGGGTGCTGGGATTTGAACCTGGGTCCTCTGTAAGAGCAATCAGGGCTCTCAACTGCTGAGCCAACTCTCCAGCCCCACTTTTAAATATTTTATTATTTTATGAGTGTTTTGCCTGCATGTATGTAAATGTACCTGTGTGTGCAATGCCTGTGGAGGTCAGAAGAGGGAGTTGGATCCCCCGGAACTGGAGCTGCCATGTGGGTGCTGGGAACCAAACCCAAGTCCTCTGCAAGAGCAGCCAGTGCTCTTAACTGCTGAGCCATCTCTCCAGCCCTTGGATTAAACTTTTAAGCACACCCCTTCTTTATCTCATGTGTCTGAACCCCAAAAATCCAAGGGCATGGTTTTTGTCCTCACAGCAAGGGCACACGTGTAAACTGTGCTTATATCCAGGGAAATTTTAAGATGTTGGCACTCTGTCCAAATAATTAAAGCAAAGAATTTTTAGAATAGAAGAGTAAAAGCTGCCATTTCTCTTAAACGTCTTTTCACCACGGATGCAGTTCAGATTGTTCCTTCCTGCTGGAGGGTTTTCAGTCATAGACAGACACTGGGTAGCAGAGGTAAAAGGACCATTAATAGGCTCTTGTCTCACATTGCTCTGGGTGGTTTGGTAATGGTATTTTCAGCTCATCTGTTTTGTTATGGTACTTTCTAGTCTTAAATTCTAAGGGGTTAAATAGTACCCTTTAATTTACCTTTTTGAGCAAATTTTAGTTTGTCCTTGGATTCTATTTTTAAATTTTTCTTCTCCCTCCTCGTTCCTCCTTTTCATCTCCCCTTTCCTCCTTCCCTTCCTCCCTTTTATTTTCTGTTGAGACACTGTGTCAGTCTGTAGCCCAGGTTGTCCTAGAATTCGCTGTGTAGCCTAGGCTGGTCTTGAACCCAAGGTGATCCTCCTGCCTCAGCCTCTCGAGTGTGAGATGGCAGGTGGGAGCTATCACACCTGGATTCTTTATAAACCGGGTTTTGTCTTCCTTGTTCCCTTCAAAATCTTCCAGGACAGGGCCTGGAGAGACAGCTCAGAGGTTAAGAGCATGGCTGCTCTTCCAGAGGACCCAGTTCAGTTCCCAGCACCCACATGGTGGCCTACAACCGTCTGTGACTCTAGTTCCGGGGATCTGACTCCCTCTTCTGGCCTCCACAGGCATTGCATGCACATGGTGCACATACATACATGCAGGCAAAACACTCATACAGATAAAAATAAATTTTAAAGACATCAAAAACAAAAAAAAGCTGGCAATAAGAAATGTGAAAGCTGCTTGGTGTGGTGGCACATGCCTTTAATCTCTGCACATGGGAGGCAGAGGCAGGCGGATGTTTGTGAATTCAAGGCTATCCTAGTCTACATAGTGAGTTCCAGGCCAGCTGGGGCTACAGGGAGACCTTGTCTCAAAAAGATCAAAAAAAGGAAGAAAGAAAAAGAAAAGAAAAAAAGATGAAAGCAACTGAGAGTCAATATGAATATGCAGGTTAGTGGAGTGGGTTGTGTGCTGGTCCCCACTACATGGGACAGTTAATGTCACAGTGTTAGCAGCAGTGTGGGAGGAAACCTTGGCTAATGGGTGGGAAGGTGACAAAAACACTGGTGTTCTATGGGACACTAATTCCTGTCAGCTGCGGCTTCCTGCTGATGTGTGGTCACTCTGGTGTGGGGATGAGCAAGCAGTTCTGGCTGCTTTTCTGGATGCTGTGATGTTGGCCAGTTGGGGAAGCTGCATGCTCCCGGCCAGCATCCTTGTCCTCCAGTCATCTCACTTCCTGCTGCTGTGGCCTCCAGAGGCGTAGCAAGCGAGAAGGCTTTGGTTGGGCGCTTGGTTGGGATCTGGAACCCACAATGTTGGCACCTGTGAGATGTGTGGCTGTTTTTTCCCAGGGAGTGGCTTTATTTGTTGTGCCATGAAATGCTGAATCCATACTATGGGCTCTTCCAGTATTCCACAGACAATATTTACACGCTGCAGATCAACCCAGACTCTTCCATCAACCCCGTGAGTATTGCCCCTGAAGGTTTGGGAAGTCAGTTGGAGTTGTTAAGATGGATGTTTTCTGGGTGTGATGGCTCATGCCTTTAATCCCAGCATTCAAGAAGCAGAGGCAGGCAGATCTCTGTGAGATTGAGGCCAGTCTGGTCTGCATAGCAAGTTCTAGGCCAGCTGAGGCTACAGGGAGACCCTGTCTCAAAAAACAAACAAACAAAAAACCCCAAAATCAATCAGTCAGTAAAGGCCAGCTATGGTGGTACATGCCTTTAATTCCAACACTCAGGAGACAGAAGCAGGTAGATTGCCATGAGTTCAAGGCCAACCTGGTCTACCTAGCAGCTTCCATGCCAGCCAGGGCTCTATAGTGAGACTTATCTCAAAACAAACAATCAAAAAACCAAGGTGGACAGTACTCAGCGTAACAATGGAAGTCAACCTCTGCCCTCCACGCACACATGAACACATGCACATATACACAAAATGTGAACGCACCTTTCCCCAACACAGTGAGGTTTTGACTAGTTTTCTGAAGTGATTTTAACCTGGAAGCAGAAGCATGAGCCTCCCCTGCTGAAAACTAGAACAGCCTTGGCAGAGCAAGGGTAGCATGTTCTTTGAGCAGAATGGGGAGGGGAGGCCAGCAGTTTCTGGCCTGCACAGTGCACAAGGCTATGCTCTGCAGTTCTCAGCAGGAGGTGTGGGACCTACATATACAGAATGTTCGAGCTGGGGGTGGCGGCGCATACCTGTCATCCAAGTACTCTGGAGTCTGAGGCAAGATTGGGAGTTTCAGGCCAGCCTGGGTTAGCGAGTATAACCCTATTTCAAAACAAACCAAAATGTTCTGCTCATCTATAGCTAAACTGCAGCCACCTAAGCATCCTTATACTTTCTGGCCACGAGTGACTGAGCATTTGACACTGTTGGACCACCTTCAAGATATTCAGGGAGCCTGGAGGAAGCAGGGTGCCCCCAACAGCCGGCAGCTCATCTTCCTAACCACTTGATGTTCTCTGGCACCCTCTACAGGACCATCTGTCTTACTTCCACTTTGTGGGTCGGATCATGGGTCTGGCTGTGTTCCATGGACACTACATAAATGGGGGCTTCACAGTTCCATTCTACAAACAGCTCCTGGGGAAACCCATCCAGCTGTCGGATCTGGAGTCAGTGGACCCAGAGCTTCACAAGAGCTTGGTGTGGATTCTGTAAGTGTCTACCTCACAGTCTGGCTAAAGGAAACCCCATGGTCCCGTCCATCCGTCCGTCTGTCCATGTGTGTGTGTGTGTGTGTGTGTGTGTGTGTGTGTGTGTGACACATGGAATGTGAGCCAATACTGCAATGTCTACGTCCTATAGCCACAGGACATATCACAAGTGCACACAGAAGGCGTCTCCCTACACTCAGACAGGACCACCTGTTCACATGGCTCTCCCGCCCCCTCTCACCTGGCTCTCCTGGGACAGCACCTGGCCTCTACCAGTCCACACTTTCCTGTGGCTGCTGAGGCTTCTGTCTGGGAGGGG